TACTTGTTTTGTTATGTGTTATTACTTTGGTATATTTTGTACATCGTGTTATTACTGTTGTAAATATTGTACATTTTTTCGTCAAAGTAGTATTATCCATTCTGTTTAGTAATGTGCTTTTACTTTTCTTTTTTTTTTTTACATGAAAAATGTAGACTCTCATTCTGTGCAATAAATCATCAAAGTGTGTTTATTCTCTGTCACAAAACTGCACACTGGACAGACAATCAATAACTTACAATGCATCTGAAGTAAGAGACATCAACAGAATAATAACATTATCGCCGACAGCCAAAGTCACGCTAATGGAAATCAGCGCTTCCAAATGTTGCCAATCACAGGCACAAATACGAAAAAAAACTTTTTTTCTTTAATGGAGCGACCCACGCCTCAAAATATTATTACGAGACGTCAAGCTAACGCTGAGAACCCCACTGCAATGAAATCCCGTGGTCCCTATTATACCTGGAGCATAAACAACGTTACTGAAGTGTCCCCTTGGCAAGTCTACTTTAGAGTAACGGTCATTTCATAGGCGAGGGTACCTCCTCTATCACCCCATTTGGAAAGGGCCCCCGCATACCGCCAGAGCCTCGTCACCTCATGTTCACAGTGTGTGTGACCGCTCTTTTATGCCTGTTTGTAGGGGGCTGACAGTGCGATACGATTTATCATCGTCACTTGCTCCTACCTGGGCCAAGGGAGTTTTGTGGTCAAGTCCCGATCGCCTGAGTCCCAACCCAAGCTTGATTCGGACTGATCTGTTAAGTGTTTCAACTTCTCCTATGCGAACTTATCTCCGGAGTGTTGTGACGAGCATTTCTGACGAATTAATGTGCAGTGGAGTGTGGGGGGAGTTTACTTTTGCTCGTGGTGTCGCGTTGAGGGGGAGGGAGGGTTTACCGTTGGCCGAGGAGTGGTGAGGGTGTTTTGTTTTACGGAGCTTGCCAAGAGGACACTATAGTTACAAGTCGGTCTTTGAAAGGACCCAACGGATTACACTGTACGTCTCAGACAGTTCTTTTTGGATTCGGATTTTTTTTTCACGAACGAGGTACAGAGTGGAAAGTGTTACTGTATATATTATCATGTATATTGAGACGTGCTTTTTCCCAGAACATGTTTTAAAAATGGTTCTGAGGCTTTTTTTTGTTGCTTTTTTGGGAAGTGATTTTTAAAAAAATGGATTTGCGCTAATTAAAACATTTAATCTACCTATGTAAGTGGCATTTTTTTTTCACGCTTTGTCCTCAAAGTGCGTACGAAATTACTGTGATTGGTTTATGTCTTTGTCATAAAGTATTCTTAAAAGCTCCTTAGGTGTTGACTCATATGTAGCTGGAAGAAAATGTTGGTAGGATGTCTGTGAACTTTCAAAAGTTTTCTTTTGATATCCTTCATTTTGTTCTCACTAAAGTCTTAAATAATGAGTCATCAGCTTCAAGCGTGCTACTACAGAATTCGTATTTTCCACCGGATGCAATCCACGCTGATTTAATCTAAACGTGTGTTTTCCCATACCTTTTTCCCCTCCTTTTGAAACTTCTCTTTCTAACCTCTTCTTTTTCTACTCCTAGTCATCCATCGTTTTCTTTCTTGCCTTGAGATTGATTATCCTTACCTTTTTTTTGTTCTTACTTTTTGTTTACTCGCGCTTTTCCTTCTTTGTGCTCTACCCTGACGCATCCTGTCTATCATTACACGCCATACAAGACCATGGCGGATAGTTTTAAACAGTTTTATGTAACGCATACGCTTGATATACTTGGGCACAGCTTAAGGTGAGTGCGAGAGCGCGAAAGCTTTGCATACAGAACATATCCACTGATCGCAAATATAGAGCAACATCTGGCTGCGATATGATCTCGATAGCTTTTTTACTTTGCTTTTGTTTTTGCTTTTGTTTTGCCTTTCACTTTTTTTTTATTTCCCCTTTATAGATTGTTAAAGCTTGGTATTGTAATGAGATTTGAAGTTCAATATTACATCAATGTCCATTCATGTTGTTTGTGTAGTGTTTCTCGATTTTGGAGGCTGCTTGGGCTGTGGAATTTCGTGTTTCTAATTACCTTTTCTAAAGCTCATGACTGAACTAAATTGAGTCATGTTGGTAAAGTCGCCGACGGTTTTGCTCTGTGCTTAAATCAATTCGACAATTTTTTTTTTCATTTTGTGAACAACTTTCCTTTTTCTGCAAAAGTAGACGTATATGAGCTGTGGACGTTTGGCGGGTGCTCTAGTGTGGTTTTGCTCCTTCTTTCCTATCAAACAACCGTCATACCTTCTCCTTTTTTAAATTTCTTTTTTTGCGTATTACTTTCTAGTCGGGCATCTTACCTTTATCATTTATACGACACAACCGCATTGCAAATGCCGTAAAACTCTTACTAAAAAGTACTTGAGTTATACGCCTCTTTCGCGTTCGAGAAAAAAAAAGTTAAACGATGTCCTTAACAAAACATGGCGTCCCAACCAGGAAGTCACGTGATGTTTTCAGTCAGTGTGCTTTGAGGTAAGTAATCTTACTGACGTTGCTACCTGTCTGAGAGGCAAACACAGAATGTACCTGTTCTAATTGTGTCAGTTTGGACGAACGCCCTTATTAATTTTCGCAAAGGGAGTGGAGGTGGAATGTCTCTCCGGTATTTCGTCTTGTTTTAGCTTTTTTTGCAAGAACCGAATGTAATTCTTGTTAATTTAAGTATGCTAGAGAGTTACCCTTTACGCTCATAGTATCCTTGTATCCTTTCTACTCACTCGACTCTTTTACAACAGCTTTTTATCACATCAAATTACACGACATACAACCCTAGTGTCATTTACTGCACAATTTTCGACACATCTATTTACCCAAGCGCAGCGTCCCGTAATTTTGCAAATCACGGATAAACACGCAAAAAGCTACGGGAGGTTTCCACAGGCCTCCCAATGTGATGAGTGCCAAAAAGTGCCAATACACCTCCTGTAGTTCGACTGTTGGCCTCGTGAGCTCCCTGCACACCCAGCGTGGGACCCTGGTGCTCCCAGCGCCACTTGTTGGCTCATTATGTCTTATTGTGCCTGTCAATTCTCCACCGTTGGGAGGGCCATGGTGTCCTAACACAGTAATTGCGGGTTCTTCTCTCTCTCTCTCTCTCTCTCTCTCTCTCTCTCTCTCTCTCTCTCTCTCTCTCTGTCTCTCTCC